CCTTTAAGATCAATGTAAACCACTAAAAAAACACAGTTAAAACAATATTATAAATAATAATTAAAATCACTATCTGAACTGAATTACTGACGTACTGACGTTATAATGGCATTAACATATATTTAAAAACATTAATTTTGCACAAAAAACTCTTCCAGAAGTTTCAAACTTTGCCACTCGTTATCGACGCCCATGCTCCAACTACTCTCCCCTCATCTCTTTCTACTACTACCGCTTTTCCCAAAAAACCTTTTGTCACTATACGGAGAAATCATCTCCACAATCAAGTCATTGTATTCCACCCCAAAATGATCAATGGAATGAGGGAGACACGGTGCTGAAGAGTATTTAAATCCGCCGACGGATGGAAATGTGCCAGTGGTGCGGCTGGCTTTAGTTACCCAAACACCCCTATTAATATCAGTGATTTATACCCTTGTTAGGTGTCGAATAACTTATGTTTAATAGGCAGTGGTTTCGTGGAGGGTAGATGGGTACAGAGACGTTAACTGTACCATGCTGTGGATACAGCCATTCGGTTGACTAATTGTTTTCTCGCCGATTTAACTTGAAGGTGGTGTAGATTGGGCGCGAGAAGAAACTGTAGGTAAAGACACCCCAACTCGAGCCCCAAACGGAACAAAGAAGCTGCCGCATTCTAGCAGGGCAATCTTTCAAATGACTGAATAATATTTGCTGGAACAAGTTTTTGAACGAAAGGCTAATATGGCCCCGAAACGGGGAGGCTTTCATAAGCAAATTTGTCACCATTTTTACATTTTGTTGCTCAATTTTTCATTATTTTTCCAGTTGAGAATCTGACTGAATTTCCAGTGAATGTTCCGATTGCTTCTTTTATGTCTCCCAGATCTTGAGTCATTACTTAAATTTTAGATTTTTTAATTAAAAACGTTGAAAATTTGGGAAATCAGAAACTTAGGTGCAAGATTTCATGTTTTCCGTCTCGTTTTTGCTCATTTCTCGAAAACAAAATTAGCAAGAATGATCATTTTTACATCATTCCATAGAGAAATAAATGGCCTTAGTAGAAGGTGAACCATCGATCAGGAAATGTTGGCAGTTTTCTCATTAAAGCCTTGATTTCAAGAAGTTTTAGATACTCGTTTTCATGGAGTTGCAAAATCTACTCAAGCATGGCTCTGCTTTTTGCGAAGTTTCTCAAGAACCATCTGAGCCACATAATTCGTTTTGGCATCGTTGGATAGAGAATTGAAAATCCGATTCAGGCATAACAACAACTTAAGTGAGGAAATTCTAGTAGTTTTGACCCAGAAAGCGAAATTTGAATATCAGACACTTAGCTGCAAGATTATACCAAAATTTAATGTTTTCCGTCCCATTTTTGCTCGCTTCTCGGAAACAAAATGTGCAAGAACGCTCATTTTTACATCATTCCAGAGATAACTAAATGGCCTTAGTAGAAGGTGAACCATCGATCAGGAAATGTTGGCAGTTTTCCCAATAAACTCTTGATTTCAAGAAGTTTTACATTTGCGTGTTCTTTTTGAGTTGCGAAATCAACTCAAACATGGCTCTGCTTTTTGCGAAGTTTCTCAAGAACCATCTGAGCCACATAATTCGTTTTGACATCGTTGGATAGAGAATTGAAAATCCGATTCAGGCATAACAACTTGAGTGGGGAAATTCTAGTAGTTTTGACCCAGAAAGCGAAATTTGAAAATCAGACACTTAGGTGTAAGATTATGCCAAAATTTCATGTTTTCCGTCCCGTTTTTGCTCGCGTCTCGGAAACAAAATGTGCAAGAATGCGCATTTTTACATCATTCCAGAGATTACTAAATGGCCTTTTTAGAAAGTGAATCATCGATAAGGAAATGTTGGCAGTTTTCTCAAAAAAGTMTTGATTTCAAGAAGTTTTACATTTGCGTATTCTTTTTGAGTTGCAAAATCGACTCAAACATGGCTCTGATTTTTGCGAAGTTTCTCAAGAACCATCTGAGCCACGTAATTCGTTTTGGCATCGTTGGATAGAGAATTGAACAGTCATAACAGTCATAACAACTTGAGTGGGGAAATTCTAGTAGTTTTGACCGAGAAAGCGAAATTTGAATATCATACATTGATRCTGAATAATGCAGGCAAAAATATTAAAGTTGTATCTATAGCGAAATAGAATATTTTGTAAATCAAATAATGTAAAATTGTTTTTGTTTCTAATATTAAATTTGTAATGCGCAATGTTTTTTTTTCTAAATTCCTTCTAAAGGGCTACAGTTCAGTGTCAAATAAATTTAAATGTGTTTTTCGCCACTTATTTTCTTTTGCATTTCCACCTCTTATGCAACGCTCTAAAACATCCCAACATAACAACGCCAACTTAATCTCAGCTAAGAGCTATAATAAATGACAATAACATTTCTCCGATGAAAGTTAAGCGCCGAACCAGGTGGTTATATTTATTTTAGACTAAAATCGAACAGTTAAAGAAATATTATTCTTGGCATATCTAGTAGAGTCTGATATTTTAATGCGTTTCAGCCGGCCATTTCTGCTTAATTGTAAATAGATGTTTGCTTTAGAAAAACAACAAAAAGGCGTTAGTGGGAAAAAGTTTGATGTTTTTCTGGTTCCCGAGAACTCTGGATATTATGCGGATAATTTCCTCTTTGGGATTTTTTCAATTAAGATAAAAGTCTGCAGTTTTGCAAACGTTGCATTTTAAATCGGTACAAGTGCTTGAACATTAACCGTTGCACTTTTACGTATTCGAAATTATTTGCAGCGTTTAAAGCGACTTTTAAGTTAAATTAAAAAGAATCTTTCACTGAGTCTGAAAGTGAATTGGCGCAGTCGGCAGCACACTATTCTGCAATAAACTATTCTGTCTGGGAAGATTTGCGAGAAAATAAACCGCGCTTGACGAATAAGACGAAATCTTTATRAAATGTTCACTATTTTATTGAGATAAATATCGAATTAAAATATAAGTCAAACAGAGGTATGTTCGAAATTATATTWAATCATACACGTCATGGTATGAACATTTTAAATGTATTATAAAAATGCATAAGGGGGTCATGTCAAACGTCTTGAAAAGTTAAATTAATCCCAATTCCATCTTAAAAAAATATTTGAATTCACGCTTTCCTAGTTACTTAAATGCAGCTGCTGCTGAATGTGATCGAGTAAAATGTTTATAAAAATAAAAATCAGCGGCATGATCGTTTTTTTTTTGGTCATAATTCTGCAAAACCCCATAGATATTATTTTTGGGGGAAAAAACCAGCCATTCATTTTTCGCGTTCGCCTAGACCGACAAACTTTATAACCCCTACTAAAGGCCCCATAAAGTTCCACCCCAGACGGGAAAAAAACATTCCTCATCCGGTTATCGGTATAACGCCCTAAAAACCCACCCTGCCAAGATAAAGTGGTCCCTTCTCGCCATTCTCTGCGGTTTTCCCCCTTAACGATGATGTATGCAATTCGCCCTGTAAAACTGCAACTCATTAGCCCTGATGAAGTGATAAAGACCGGCCACTGTGTCAGACACTTGGGGGTTTTTACCCTGACCAACACGTAACCGGGGCAGAGTGCATATTCGCTTTGAAATTGATACCCAAAACACATTGTATTTGATGTGTGCGGCAAAATTGATTTTACAAATTTCCAAGTTCTTCAAACTCAATTGGGCTTGATTGGAAATATGCTTGCAGCGTAACTCGATTGAAATTTGCACGATATTTAAATTTAGGTCTATAGGCCACATCTGTAAGTTTTCTTCTTGTTTTAAGAATAATTAGCCAAATTTTCCAAAATTAAGTAGGGAAGGTGAATTTTCATTGGGAATGCCGAAGATTTGCGAAACAACTTGCCTAACGTAATGTTGGATGAAAATTTAAAATGTGAAAAAACAAAAAAGAAGTTTTTAAAAATTTGCAATATTGATGTTTATATCTACCTAAATAAATCAACAAAACTAAATTTTCCGTGATTAAATTAACAAAAAGAATTTTCGATAAAAAGCTAAATAATTTTGAAATTACACATTAACCATTATTACACTTAACTGTTCACAATGAATAGGTTAGTTCGCAATAATAAGCAACAAGGCATAAAAAAGGTGAAAATCTAAAAATGTGGTTCTTAAAGAACCGTCTAAAAATGTGGTTCTTAAAGAACCGTCGAGTTCTGAAAACATGTTTTTTCGTATGTATAAAATATATGTTTCTTATCGCTTTCAACAGTAGATTGTGAGAGGGTTAAAGAAATTGCTTTCTGCAGCAATATTATCAATTCAGAAAACCACGAGATTTCTAGCCATTCAATCACGTTTTTTTAATTTGTTAATATCTAAGAACGGCGCAGTGTATGACCCTGTATAATATACACAGTGGCTCACATTAATCGCGATAATTTCACGAGAAATCAATTGGAAAGTTCATACTTTACAACTTTTGGCTGTGCAGCTTCAAAAAGAAGACGTTTTTCCATTATTTTCAAATATATGTTCGTAATATTGCAAACAAAATATGTATTAAAATTCCTTTGTGATATACCTGCTATGAGACGCTTAATATCTATGTTTTTTTAAAGTTTTGAACACTTGATTACTCACGCAAAAAAATTTTAAAGTTCACGTTATTTTCGCCAATCGATAAACGTGGAAAATGGTGGCAGAAATTAGTCACTTAAACGTCCAAAAACTACAGATTTTGATATAGAATTTTGCGATAGAAAATACTCTCTCGGTTATAAAAATTGCCACAATAGCAAGATTACAAATTTACTTTCCCGAAAATGAGCACTTTACAACCCGAAGGCTAAATATTCCGGCGTTTCCAAGGGGTTTTGTTGCAAACTTTTTGCGTGACGACTTGCATCCAGCAATTTTCAAGAAAACTTACCATTAATTGAACAGCGACTGGGTAGTATGCGCATGAAATTTAATCGCACAAAATCCACGGATTTTTAAACCGACTTGCAAGCCATATTTATGAATAAATGAAAAAGCAGTCTAACAAAATATACTTTTAATGGTTTAAAGTAGCAAACAATGCAGACAGTTTTAATTCGCATTACATTGAAATCATTAAACATACTAAAAAAATTAAATAACTTATTACATAAATAATTTATCACATTTGAAACTATTATACATTTCTGTAATAAATTAGATACTTGAGTGCATTGGAACTATCGAAAATCAAAGTTTTTAGTGTCAGAATTACAAAACATATGGGAAATTGGTTTATAATTTAAAAAAATCGCCAGCTTTTTACTTTTCATTTCGGTTACAGAAATTCAACACTTCTGAAACTTGTGACTTTTGCACCGAAACCTCTTGTGTGAGTGCAAATTATATTTCCGATTAAAATCCTTACATAGAACTAGAAACAGCCTACATTTCCTTAAAATTTAGAAACACCAAATAAACTTTGTCTTCTTACATAATGTATTTGCTAAAATTTGTCTACTTTTTATTGGCTTGTTGCCGTTCTAAATGGTTCTTCCACATAGTATAGGCCAAACCTAATGTTAAAGCTCCAACTGCAGCCCCTTGTGCCCCAACACGAAGTTGCATTAGATATACACTAGTGCTCATTTTTCCTTTATTTTTATACATGTAGACTCCATAGCCTATTGCTCCAAGACATACACCAATGGCTGAAAAAAAATTCACACAATCAAGTTACAAATAATTGAACATAATAATAAGACAAAAAATGAAAATAATCCTGATGTTCATGTTCTCACCACGCATTTTGTTTGCAAGTGGTTGAAGTACTCGTTCAAAAAATCAATCGTAAAAACAAAATAATAATAGTTTTGATTCATTGGAGTGAAGCCAAAGTATTAATACGGCACCTACAATAAAAAACGAAGATGTTAACCAGCTTTGCCTTAGAAAATTTCTGTTGATAGCTATAGAATAAATGTGTTTCTACAGAGTGTCCCAACGATAGAGTCAAGTAATTTTACGTTTAACCGGAATTATTTGTCAAACTGTAATGGTTATAATAACTTTTGGAATGCTAAATATTTGTAGTCAATAATTAAACAATGGCGATGATAACAGACTCCTCTAAATCGAAACCATCAGTTCCAAATTAGAATTATGATTAAATAAATCAACATTTAAACAATATTTCCAATAATATAGTAATTTTAAGCATTCATTCACTAAATGGCGAATGATGAGTTGTACAGTTAACGTGGCATACATACCTATTGGGAACATAGGTGCTTCTTTGGTTTTTCTTGACAGTCTATCACTTTGAGATTCCTCCTGATACAGCACGTCTTCTCCACCCATTTTGCCGGTAGCTGAAAAAAAAATAATCTGAATTGGAGTTGAAAAAGAAAGTTATATTGCGTTTTAAATATGGAAACACTTTTTTACATAAATGTTTAAAAACGTGCAATTAAATACGAGTAAAATAGCTGACTAATCGTCTACTATATTTATTTGCACTCGAAACATGCTTAGGAACAAACAAAATTTTCATCCTTAAATTAGTTCAAGAGTGTGTTTGGTTATATTCGAACAAAGTACTAGAGAAGTGTGTTAAACTATATTAGAGCTTAATAAGAACCAAAAGAGTTGATATTGTTTCAAAGTCCTATTGCCTAGTTATTTCCTCCAGCGCTCTTATTTAGCTTTTTGTTGAATTATTTCTGCTGGGTTGACGAGGTTTAAAGCTTTAAAAACACGTTTGAAACTTTAATCAGACCAAAGGTATAGAAGCTATTTTAGAGCCCGAAACGTAAGTTTATTCTAGATGCCGTTTTCACTCTTTAATTTTAAAGCAAAAATATATTTACTCTCTAGTGACTACGTTTAACTGATAGGTTTTACAGCCATGTGCAAGACATATACCTACAAAATACAGTCTATTAGATGACCATAAGAAACATGCTAACAATAGTAGCAACTAATGAGCCTAAATACGCATAAAACTAATAAAATCATCTGCAAAAGATGTTCAAATGTAACGATTCGTTACACAACGATTACTCAAGGTCAATAGGGTTATGTTTAAACTACAAACTAAAAACCAAGCTAAAAACTCACTTAAGGCCATTCCGAACTAAAAACAAGTGAACCAAGGGGAGGGAATTACCAGATTTATGCACAATTTGCACTAAATTATCTTAGAAAACGGTACGGAAAAGCTAACAGGAGCCTCCTATTCACTTCATAACCACCGAACTTCACGTGAATGCCAAATTGCACAGTGACGAAATGAATGGCCGACTGACAGTGCTGGTAGCTTATGAAAATGCCATCCGTTATTAATATTTGTTTTTTCCATCCTATTTGTACGGGGACCAATCACTCAAATTGAACAAGAATGTTTGGGAGCACGTTGAAAAACCGTAAAAATGGCTAGAAAATCAAGTTTTGCAATCGAAAAACCGATATAAAATTTGTAAAATATGGGGTGGTATAATCAAGACTGGAAGATTATGAGCGTGTTATTGAGTGTGTTTGACATGATTTTGCATGGTATATCGGTATCGATAGTGGAAATCCCATTACAATTATTTTCGTTACACAGGGTGTCCCAAAAATCCGTGGCATACCAAATTCATGTTTGTTTAGTAGGACACCCTATATCAACATGTCGCAAAACCTGAAAAAAATTGAAAACGTCAATTCATAAGCAGGCCATAGTCTAAAATTATCAACAAAATGTTAAAAGCCCTTGTGCATACTAAGTATTCAAAAATATTTTGCTTAGACCTGGTAGCATGACTGAGTAACGTTGACGGTTTTCCGGGTGCTCTGATTACGTTCACTAAAGTCTGAACACATTCTTGGAAATTTTCGCAGACTTTACCTTGTGACGTCAGGCGGGGGTCACCCAAATGCGAAATTCGCGATTACGTCACTCGGTGCGTAGAGAATCACGGGTAAGTTGGCTCAAACTTACGGATATACGAATATATCTACGAAAAATTACCACATTTGAGAAAATCACGTACGCCGTTGTTGTAGCAGCTAAAGCGTTTAATAGAATTTTATCTGAGTTTATCAGTGAATTGGATGAGTAATCTTGGATTTTTCCAACTGTTCATTACCACCGCTAAACATTTTTTTGTTTGAGAAACGTTTCAGAAACGTATATGTAATTCCCAAAACGTTTCAGATTATCTGCACTATTTGTTTCATAAATGTAACTTTTCATAAATGTAACTGAAAATGTCCGACCTCAGAAACGTTTAGCTGAATAAATGTTACTGAAACGTCGGGATAAACGTTATTCAAACGCTGACAATAAACATTTTGTAACATTATACATGGTGTCTCAGAAACGTGCAAATATTTTAATCATTGTTAATTTTAATGCATGAAAACACACTGGAAACTTTTGGTTAAACTTAAAAAAAAAACCAATTTTGATAACATAATAAAATATAATTACTAATAGATCACCCTCACCACACAGTTCGAGTAAATACCAATTAAAATTACTATAAATGTAAAAACCCACACGTACCTATACATATATCCTATACACTGCCCAATAATATAAAACGACTATAAAAATATAACAATTGTTATCCGAGAAAATGCGGGGAAAACAAACAGGATTTCCTGGATATTCTTGAAAATATCTAATAAAATACATAGAATCAATATAAAATGGAATAATCTGCACATACAAATTGAGGAAAACAAAATGTAAGAAATTGAGGCATTCTTAAAAAACCCCAAGAGTGTCCCTAGTTCATATAACGGGTTTTCAATAGTAAAACGTAATTGATTTTATTTGCGTTTTTATTAACTTACACTTTAAAACTGCTTAAAACGAAAGAATATTCAACAACAGTAAAAACGGCAATTGCCCCATTTCTCCAAACTGGAATATTTTCCAGAAACAAGCATTTGAAAATCATCTGGCAGCAAAAATAACTGATAGTTTTCTAAAAGAACGCCTTCAAATCAATTATTGTTTCTCGGAAAATGCACATTTAAATAACAAGTATTTTTATATTTACAAATGTAACTAATAAGAAAAGAAGAAAAGCACAGTTTTTATTGCAATCTACAACAGTTGTAACATTCCCTAGTTTCCTTCACTAGAAAAAATTTACATTTGCATTCAAGGCGAATTTTGTGAAAATATGGTACGAACCTGAAAATCAACCGTTATTTAAAGTCTGCAAGATATGTTTCAAATACGGGTTTCTGGAAAATAGGTCATTTCATAAAAGTGAAACCAATACATCACTTTGGTGTTTCTGACTGACTTCTTTTCATCAACTCTTAGTTATTTTTAAATGTCTGTTTCTTAAGAACGCGCTTCTTAGTACCTTTAACTGAAAAACATTGTTAATTTTATAATAAAACCTCCTGCATACTGCAAACATATTAACACGCGTTAATCCAGCATTTTTTAAATCCGTTTGAGCCAATTTTCAGTGTAATAGATCAAAAATCATCGAATTTTACAACAATATCACAGTAAATCAGTCAATCAATCAGACTCTAATAACTGTCCGCATTCTATCCATAATTCGTTTTTATTTATTTGGTTATTAACGCTTGTAGTGCTTGTAAAATGTGCGTTCAAAAAAAGTATCAGGTTTCAAAAAACCTTAAGTGCACTTAGGATGCAACGGCATTTAAAAAGTGTTTGTTTTCCTGCTTTGCATTCGCTTTGTCAGCAATTGAGTCACTTTGTGATAATATTATGCATGAAAATCGGATAAAGACTGCTGTGAAAAATTACATAAGAACTATTTTTCCCAAATATCAAGTTACAAGTTCGCTTTAGCACGAGCTGCAAGATTCAGCGCCTTTTCCAGCCTACTGCCCAACGTCGGATGAACTCTGGAGTACAGTTTGACCGCTCTTTCTTGAATGAAATCTGCAGTCGACTTAAGGCTACCAGCCAAGTTATTCACTAGACGAGTTTTTGCGTCTTCGTCCAAAACCCGAAGCCATAAAGCGGCCGGTTGTTCAAAGTCCTCGTCTTTCATAGGTTCGTCATATCTAAATAAAATAGCTTAATAAATAACGATCTAAAGCTCTCCATGCTTAGATGAACTACATGAAATAGAGACATAAAAAATCGAAATTACCTGTTAACGTCTCCCGTTATTGTATAGGGTGGATATAATACTTTCACATTTGGATCAACTTTCGGTCCCGAAAAGCTGTTTGGATGGTAGTTGGGCGCATTTCCTTGATTCGAAATAGCCATATTTCCGTCTCTTTGGTAATTCTTCACCTTGTAGGGACAATTAACTGGTAGTTGCAAGTAATTAGGGCCCAGACGGTATCTGTGAGTGTCTCCGTAGGTGAAAAGTCGACCTAAGTAAGCGCGAAAGATCACAATTCACTCTCAACCGGGGCAAGCCATTGTTACCTTGCAACATTCTATCTGGAGATGGCAGAATTCCCGGTACCATGTGGGCGGGGTTAAAAGCGATTTGCTCCACTTCGGCAAAATAGTTTTCTGGGTTCCTATCCAGCACCAATTTGCCAACTGGGATCAATGGGTAGTCGCTGTGAGGCCAGATTTTCGTCAAATCAAACGGATTGAATTTTGAGGTTTGTGCTTGCTCAGGAGTCATAATCTGAAATGCGACTCACATAGTGAGAAACTAGCTGACTGGCATACAAGTAAATGCTACCTGAATGTACATGCTGTAGCTGGGATAATTCTTATTGGCAATGGCGTTGTACAAGTCGCGAATGGCGTAGTCCGGATCGCTTCCAGCTAATTCATCAGCTTTTTCCACCGGCAGGTTCTTAACCCCTTGATCGGTTTTGTAATGGAATTTGCAATAATGATACTTTCCGTCCCTGTTCACTAATTTGAACGTGTGCGATCCATAGCCGTTCATATGTCGATATCCATCAGGAGTTCCTGATTTTGTGATACTTATGTAAGATTATAATCAATTTAGGCCCCATAAAACGTACCTCTATCTCCAAATAGGAACATCCACTGATGTATAGACTCGGGTCGTAAGGTGTGGAAATCCCACATCATATTTGGATCTTTCAGGTGAGTCTGAGGATTTCGTTTCTGAGTGTGAATAAAACTGGAGAAGAGAATGGGGTCTTTAATGAAGAAAACCGGCGTGTTGTTTCCCACCAGATCCCAATTGCCATCCTCAGTATAGAATTTCACTGCAAATCCACGCGGGTCGCGAGCAGTATCAGCTGAGCCTAAAAATGTTTAAACTTTCAATTTCCAAATCTTTTCTGGGAGTAAATTTAAAGTATTTGGAAAGACCGACAATCTCATATAGGAATTCACATATCTTATATAAGAACAGTGCTCATAATCGACGGGTAATAAAACATGTGTAAATTCGGTATTTCCAGAACTTAAGTGATTCCTACCAGCTTCGCCTCCTACGGTAGAAAACCGTACTGCAATTGGAGTCGTTTTCCCAATGCCCTCAAATACTTTGGCCGCACAGTATTCCGTAATATCATGAGTTACCTAAATTTTGAAAATTATTCTATAAGTAATCAAACCAAGTCCCTTCCAAGATATACCTTAAAGTAGCCAAACGCTCCTGCTCCCTTAGCATGGACCACCCGTTCCGGAATGCGCTCCCGATTGAAATGGGCCATATCTTCGATGAAATGGGCATCTTGAAGTAGAATTGGTCCTTTTGGCCCAACTGTTTCACTAGCATCTTTTACAACAATGGGCGCTCCAAAGGCGGTTCTAGCGTAAATACTCTGAAAATGGCAAACATTTGTTGGATGTTTAATTCGTTGTACTGGTTTGTCATGGGGCTACAGATCGCAATTTTCGAGATATCAATATGAAAACTATCTAGGACTAAGAATCTTCTCTAAGTCCATTGAAGAGGCCTGACATCGAACATGACTTCGAAAAAAACAAACATGGGTTCGGTCGCAACAAGATCGTGCTGAAGATACCTGGAAACCCATTGCTTGGATCGGAGACAATTGTCCTATAAGCTGGCCACCTCGACCGCCAGATATCACCCTCATGGATTTTTTGGTGTAGGGTTTTATACGCACCGAATGACAATGTTTTTTTTTTGTTGGTTTTTGCACAGGCAACACGAACCAATTGTACGGTCGACAATTGGTTCGTGGGTGGAGAAGAATCCCTTTGAATTTCACCCGTTAATTTAATCGCCTTTTCTTTATTTCACTAAACTTTGTCGAATGATAATCGCCGTGTTTGGTTTTCTGGGTTTTTTTCGAACGGTTAATCAGGCTGGACGCTTTCAGTCAGAAACCCCATGAGTGGCCTTATGTTTGTAGCCTCAGAACTCGCAATTTCCTTTTGGATTGTTTTAAACGAAGCGCGCTAGAAAGTAGAGGTAGGCAATTGAGAACGTTTTTTGCTTTTAGCATATTAAAAAGTACATGTAATTGAGAACACTTTTTGTCCCGTGACTTTTTGTGTTAAACTAAGGGATTTGAAGAAAAATTACAAAATGCTATCGATTTTTTAACAATCGCTTGAAGCCTCCAAACTTTTAATTGGTTTTCGAGCTTTTTTATCTGTTATCCTATTAGCAAGTACCTACACGCAATTGAAAACATTCTCTCCTGCCTTTTCTTAAGAAACTCGACGATTTAGAGTAAAATGGCAAAATGTGATCGAATGCGTATCGGAGAAAATAAGACTCACACTTTTACTATTGATTCGGAGCCTCAAAACTTGCAATTGGTTCCGAGTTTTGTTTAATCTATTAGCCTTTTTGAAAGTACATGCAAAGATAACCGTATTTTTTTTTGTTAAACTCGGTGTTTTATAGGAAAATGACAAAATGCGATCGAATGCACATTTTACATGATCGTTTTTTGTCGAAGCGTGTTAGAAAGTGGAACGCGCAATTGTGAGTATTTTTTGCCTCTTGACTTCAATGTATATCAAGAAAAAAAATGTGCTCAGAGGTTTTTATTTTTTAAATATAAAATTGTGCATATTGGCAGAAATCTTGAAACTGACTTTTTCCTTCCAAACTGAATGTAGAATTGGAAAACAATTTTTATTTGCAAGAAAACCTTGCTGTGCACTGTTTTTTTTTCTGGAAATTGTGAAATGTTAAATATTGCGGTATTTTTTGGAGAATACAACAATTTACATTTTTAAAAACAAAAACCACATTTTAACACAAAATCTTGAATCTGGAATTGAAAAATAATTTTTATTTGCAAGAAAACCATTTGCACTGTTTTTCCCTAGAAAGTATCAAATATCAAATAGTGCGCTAATTTTATCGGGCATTGCAAAAGTTTTTATTTTTTTATTCAAAAACTGTGCGTTTTAGCAAAAAACACGCAAATTTGCTTTTTTGCTTCCAACTGAATGTAAAAGTGAGCAATAATTTTTATTGGCCGAAAAGATCCTGGCGCGCTCTGGTTTTTTCCTGAAAAATATCAAACGATGAATATTGGAATTTTCTTTATAATGATTAGGCAATATTACAAAAATTCAGGAAAAGATGATAATGACTCAAATTTCCCAGGTCTCGTATTTTAAAGGCTTGAAAAACAAATAGTACCAACGAATTAGGGCAAAACTAGTAATTTCTAGTCTCAATAATCGACTTCCTAATACAAGGTTTCCTTCATACACCACTAATCTCGCCTGATAGCACAATCTATCTAAGGTGCCCATACTTTTTTAATTTGAGCAATAAACATATTATTTGTTATTTATGGCTTGGTTGACAATATTTATAGTATTGTCACAAGTACAGGCAGTTTACGTTCCTTCGCTAAGTGTGTAAATAAAAACGATTGCAATATCTTCTGAACGATCGTAACCCTTCACTAATCAACCGTTTGTTCTACTGCACTAGAAACTAGTACTTAGATAAATATGTTAAATCTGGTAAAAGTCGAACAAGGCCAACTACCAAAGTTTGCAAGCATGCTAAGGAACCAAACGTGCTAAAATTGTTTAAAAAAAATCAATATAAAATAAAACCAATATTTTGAAGCAAATTTACTCTTGCAATAAACTAATTTACTGCAAATTATCAATTTGTTTAGATCATAACACGCTTTTAAGCAGCGGCTTTTTACGATATAATTTATCTATTGCGTTAAAAATAAACCGATATCCGTAAAGTGCAATTGACTGTAGATAGGCTTCGAGCTTTGGAAAGAGCAAAATAAAATTAAGCAATTAGCAGGAAAAATATGTACATATTTACTTGCTAAAAAAATTAATTTATCAACTACAGAATGCATTTGTATTTATTGCATTTATAAGTTTAAAGTATTTTGCACGCCCTTACATTGAATTAAGCGCTGTGTCGTGACTGTTGCTTAATAATTTACTCACCACCTGAAATATTAAATAAAGGAAAAACTATTGAATCCGCAAATTGTTAAAATGAAAAATTAGCTACTTTAGTAGGAACCCAGTTCAGGTTGAGTTAAACATAATAATGAAAAAAACAACCCAACTGAGCTGTGTATTTGCTCGCTTAATAAACAATAAGCCTGTTCTTGAAACATACGAGATTACGATGATGTATGTTTTTGTAATATTGCAAAACATTATGTACTATTATTAGAAAATATTTATCAATTATTATTTTCCTGCGATATTCGATAGGTATACTGTACTCGCTAAACTGCTACTGGAAATATGTTAAAATGAAAAACATCGTTACCAAACAAAGAGCCACAATTGATTTAAATGCGCATTTTAATTGATTCATAATTGCAATAAAACGTGAATTCCAAGGAAAAATACACTTAAAGGCTGCCAAATAATGCTTCAACAATGCGAAAATACAGCTTGTTAATTCTCATACCACAAAATTGTGTTCATTAAATTCTGATTCAGCAGATTTTAATTATTCGGTAATTAGAGTTGTTTTATTGGAAACACCGGAATAAAGCCTTATGGGATGGTTTACAATGAAAGCAAGCTTTGTTCGTTTAATATGGAAATTCTAATTAAGTGCTAGTTAATTTCATAGAAGATGACTCAAAAGGCCTGTGTTTCTATATTTTTACTCAAAAATAAGTACACTAATTATGCAATGTTTTGAATGAATTGCTGAGGTGATAAATCCGAAAAAAATCAGTATCATGAAAATGGCAAATATGTAATTGTGTTGTGCATGTGCAGAATGACTATTTCTGACATGGAAATTCTCATATTAAAATTCAATAATTATTGAACGACTATAAAATCGTAGAACCCAATTGTAAAACTTTAAATAAAAAAAAAACCACTTCTGACAAATTGCTCAAAAAAATAAGTTTGCAAAAGACAATTAAAAATGGCTCATTTGGTGAACAAAAGTTTATAACATTTTCTCGGCTAGTAAATTGAAGCGAGTTGAAGAAAAACAAAAAAGTTTGCTAGATACTTGCAGTATTCCATTAATGTGATTTTTTCATATCTGGGTAAATTAAATTTCAATTTTTATTGCAATTCTTCCTTCCAGTTTAAATACTGGTAAACACCCAGAGTATAAACTAGATTTAAATAAAGGAATCCTCGTAACACGACAAACTAATGAACAATCAAAAGAGATGGACTTTCGAGGCTATTCCTTGAAACTAATGGGTTTTTCGGGTTTTTAGGCCGTCGTTTGGTAGGATTTCTTTCGAAAAACCCATTAGTAATGAACACTCATTAGCTCAATAATTTGCTGCTCCTAATCATCAAAATAAACAAAAAAATTTTAGAAGAGTGAATATTTAAACGATTTAAAAAACGTTTTATTTATCGGTCTGCGTTCTAATATTTTTAAAGTTTTCTGACAAAACTTGCATGCATAAAGTAGGTATAGCAAAAATAGAAAATAAATAATCAAGATAAAACAAGATTTTTTTAAATTTAATGAGTTACAAAATTTAAAATTAGAGGGCTTTTTATTTCACATTCCAAAGTCAATTTGAAGCACAAACACGAACTTGCATGCATAAAGTAGGTATCACAAAAATAGAAAATAAATAATCAAGAAAAAAACATTTTTTTAAATTTAATGAGTTACAAAATTTAAAATGAGAGGGCTTTCTATTTCACATTTTAAAAGTAATTTGAAGCACAAATAAGTGCACTAAAAAGTTCACGCGCACACAAATAACGTAGTTAATAAAGCTGAATTGCATTGGTAAATAGTGATCTATAAAAAGAAGGCATTTTTACCTCGGCACAAGAGGCTCGTTCCTTCGGCTTCCAGTCCAAAATCTGCCTGGATGCCTTATCTTCTGAAGCCATTCTTCGCTAAGTTTTTCCTTTAAAACCGAAGAAAAAACACTCAAAACAATCCAAATCCAATGTCAGAAGCACCGAACGATTGTCAGAAGCTTCAAGCTTTCAAGCTTACCAAACAGTGCGGTGCACTTTAGATCTTTAATTTCCATGGAGTATTTGTCCTTGTCCTCTCTTATCTATGGATTCTTGTTTGCTGGCGAGATTGCCACGTTTAGAATGAAAAAATCCTTTTTTTTTTAAATTTTTTTTCCTGTATACAGGGTGTTTGTTTTGTCGATGCCATCCGCTGCAGGAGAATTTTGAGGTGGTCGTGTCTTTTGAGTCCCAGCAAATTTTTCTTGTTTTACCTTAAACAAAAATTCCTGGATGGTCCATAAATTAAGCCAAAAAACACTTACAAACTTGAAATTCGCTTTTCCAAAACCACTTATGTATGCACGAAAATGAGATTGTCCGGTGCTATTTGCTGCTAAATCGTGTTTTAGGTATCAACAATTCATAACTCCTCATGCAAAATAGGCGCTAAGATGCAACATAATTGTGTTTTTCGCAAAAGTTTGAGCATCTTTTCTAACGTCGCCAATGTTTGCGTTTGCATGGTTGAAGTGATTTTTTAAATTCAACTCAATAAATATACAGAACGTGACTAACCCAAACTGTCCACCAATTGGTTCCGGAACATTTTGTGTTCTCTTGATTTTATTATTCTTCTTTTGCATTCGTTTTACGAAATTGTTTTTCGTTTACGTTTGCGAAGGCGCTATAAGTGAAGTACAAATGGCACTTTGTTTCTCATCATTTAATATACTTAATTTCGTCTAAGTCCGTTACCAGGATTAAATCAGCAAGTTAAATTAATTCAACATTCAAGAAAGTGAAAACACTGTATCAGATCTACAAACGATATTTATTTGGCATATTACAGGTTTTCATTAATTGAACATAAGAATTGTAAAAGCAGCCTATTTACAAAACTATTCAGTGTGTCGATTTACATTTTTACATTTTATGGAATTACAGAATATGAATAGACAATAATTCGATTTATCACAGCGCCAATCAGCTACTGAAATAAGTATGTACTTGTATAAAAAAACGGAGATGTGAATTCCATAACTGCAGTGGCAAAAAATTACTTGCATGTTTTCGGAATCATATTTTATCAAACTTCTGTAAAAAATAGAAATAGTTGGGTTTCACAACTGCAGTGGCAAACGAATTATTTACTTCTCTGGAATACATTCCGATAAACGAATTTCCAACTAACTCCTAGACGTAAAATTAGATGCGTATTAATCAAATTTATTGCTTCAGTGTGAGAAAATAAAAATAAATCACACTTAAATAAAATGTATAATATACAATGGAAGATTGAAAAGTAGCTGCGAGTGGTCTATTGTTGTTCAGTGCTCTCAGCTATTAACATGATAATCTGCTGTTGGCCTCCCCCATCACCCGACACTGCCCTTACGCATTCCACCTGGTGCGAAGCCCAATCCTTTCTTTGGCAAAACGTTGAACAATATGGAGTACGTCTGCAGAGCGAACATTCGGCTAGAGCTTCTCTGTTACAGTTGGCACACTAAAAATACAACACAAAAAAGCTCACTAAATGTATTTAAATTATATTTAAATAATATAAGCACAAAAAACGTATATAGAATAATGGAAATGAAAATAAAAATGCAATTGAAGGCAAAACATAAAATCTTGAGGATTTCAAGTTTCATTTGAAATTGAAGAAATGGGAAAGACAAATTCAAAATTTTCCGAGTCAGTTAAGATATTTTCTTGAAAATAGTATCCAAATATTACCTTTTTTTGATTGTCAGTATCAATTTGCTGCAATGTGGAATCTGTATTATTTCCATCTGTTCCCAAGGCAGCAACCTGGGCTTCGACCCGCGCTGCCAAAACGGCGGAATCTTTCTCCTTTTGGAATTTTTCTTGCTGTCTGGTTACGCTTTCCCTCAAATCATCCAACACCCTACAGAACAATACAAAACCCGATTATATTTGCCCTCGAATTCCGGAATAATGTCGACAGTTTTTTTTTTCAAAATATAAATCTGGAAAAACACCCACTTACCTTCGATATTCACCCGAAAGCCGCGTGATTTGATGAGAGATTTCTTCCAACTTTTTCACATACACGGTAGGATCCGTAGTTACGGCTGGTTCCATTAACTGATAGTCATTCGAATCCAGTCCTTCCGCAAGATTTTGCCAGGCATCCTCTTTGCTCTGTTGGTCGCTGTCTTCTTCGTTGGAGTTATTTGCGGTCCTTTTATTGCTGAAACAAAACCTGTGATCAAATACCTGATGAATTCAATTTACGTCGAGCATCAGCACTGTTTTTGTTAAACTTTTTGAATAATAAGAAAGAAAGCAGTACCTGCCTCCATCGCTTTCTTTCCGCCTTTTCCTTTTGTAGGGTGTGAACAGTCTCACTGGGCCAGTGGCAGTTTCATCGTCACAACATGCTGAACAGGTGCAACTTGTAGCATGCGGCAAAATAATACCTGGGCATTAAGAAATATGTTTATGTTATATCGATATATTTTTGTATATAGCACACCTTCATCAATAAGGGTCTGCAAACTTCTTCCTCCAAACCGTATGCTTCTCTTCCAGTCTTTGCTTGAAGCTCTTCCTGAAAGCCAATTCGCAATAAAACATTATGTGCTATTAGGCTTCAGAAGGATATTTTGTTAAAGAAAAACGTACCGCATAAAGCTTCAAATTCACTGGGTGTATACCAAGAGCTTCCCAACTTTATGCATCGGCCTCGGCCTCCAGAACCAAAACGAGCTTTGTGAAGTTCAGCCGATGTGTTTTTACATCTTAAAAAAATATTAAAATATATTACGATTGCCGATACGAAAGATTGCCTGGCTCGTTGCTGTTGATGGCCAAGATTCTTAAAAAAAAACAGTTCAGGATGTGCTTACGGAACAGCATTTATACAATTTTTTACAAATAAACATTTTTTTTAAACTGGAAAGTATAGGTACCAGTTTTTAAGTAGTTTTAAGAGTTATATTAATCCAAAAGTTTAAAACAATTAACTTACCTAACAGGTAAAATTGGTAAATTTGCAGCTTCACTCCATGAACCAACCACCGTCGGGGTTACCTAAATAATCATTAAAAACTTAAGCGGTAAATTATGTTTATCAAAATTAGTTATATCAATATGATATGGACTAGGCAAAAAAATGCGAAGGAAATCAGCATGCATTTCAAATCAGGACAAAGCACGATTATAGCGAATCTGAAGCGCTACAATGGATAAAGCTACAAAAATTATATCAAAGTAATACATTTTTGGATTCAAATGTTTATAGCTCAAACTAGGAACGATTATTGGATTTTTATTATAATTTCATGTTAAATATAATTGAGTTTTGTTACTTATTGGCACTTTATTCTGTAATTTACCTTCCTTTAGCAGTGTTAAATTTTTATTCATCTGGAACTATGGTAATCTTCTAAAAGTAACACCAAGGATTACTACAACAAGAGATGCGAAATAGAAGCAATTTTTCATCAAGCATTCCTCCAATTTGGCTCATTCTCGAAAGAGAAAGCCGCAATAATCTCCTAAATAAAAAGTTGTAAAAGACATTTGATTAGTTTACGATAGATTCAGACGGTGAACCTTTAACACTGTTTTATCGGCTTCATACAAATTAGTTATATTTGATTCATATACAGTGTGTTTCCAAATATCATGTACACACCAGTGGCGGCGCCAGCTTCATTTTGCGCTTGGGAGAAATCCGGCGAAAAATTTTTCTAGATGGGCACGAGATACTTATACTTTTAATTGTAAGAGTTGGATATAAAATATCTGTTTTACACAATATTTTCTTTGCTTCTTTGGACGAATATAATGTAAAATATTATTTAGTTATTTTTATTTAACGTTGTAAAGATTCATTTTTAGTAGGCACTTATAACCACATGTTTTTGTCAAACAAGGAGCTAACGGAGTTTGACAATATTTTGAGTGTCCCAACATGAATTTACAATACAAATATCATACGAGATTTTATCTACTTTTGTAGAATAACGAAATAAATGTTACAAAAATATAGTTCACAACTGTGAATTATTATGTTGGAAACAAATGCTGAATGAAATTCGCTACAACACTAGTACTGTAATAAAAACTATTATAAACGAATCTATTTTTTGAATTGAATAATTTCTTTTACTAAACGAAAGTAAATTTAAAATATTTAAATTAACGAATAACATTATAAACATGGAATAAAACTTTAATAAGGTAGTGAAATAACTCAATAATGAAATAGTTATTCGGGCAGAACATTAGAAAAGGCATTCTTCTATTATTATGGATAGCCGCAAACGAATCTATAATTAACCCTGAATCTATTTTTTTGCAATATTTTTTTCAACAAACAAAATGCCCCAGTCTTCTTAAATAATTTGTCAATCTCTTTAAAGTGCTGAAAGATCTTTCACAACTTGCACTAGAAGATGGTACTAACATTGCAATATTAAATAGTTTATCCATTTCATGGAAGTCTAGACTAAAACCCTGCAAAAGAAGTGTGAGATCTGTTAAAGTGTTTATTTTTAGATTATTTGTGACTTCATACCTCTTACTGGTATCTGGCAATGACTTTGCCTCGTTTTCAAGTAAAACTGTATCACATTGGTAACGGTTAGCTAAAGAAATAAACGTTCTAAGTTTAAAAAAATAGTGGAAGATGGATTAAATCTACTAAATCATGTTTTTCAACCCAGCTTTTGTTGCTGCAGCCCTTTTCCAGTTCTTGTAGGCTTCGGAAACAGAACTTAAACTGCTGGTTCCACCTTGTTTAAGGAAAAATCTACAAGCAAAAACAGCATCTTTGAGAAAGCTGTACTTAATCCAAGGATATATATATAATAACTGGACTTAAAACTACGAAGATCACAACCATATTGTTTTTAGGAAAACTTGCTAAGACCGGCTGTCTTGAAAGTTGATGTAGCAATGGAGCCAAATCAATGACTTCTTTTTCCTCTACATGAAAATATTTGGCTTTTGTCCTAGCAGAAAACAAGAACTCATATTTAGATTAGAAAATAATTTATTAATGTGAAGTACTTAAAAGCTTACTTTTCAATTCCCGAAGAACTCAGAATGTTTTCACGTTCACTATCATTATCGCTATTAAAAGTGGTTGGGCGAGACAAATTTTGGTTGGGGCTCGCCCAACCTAGCCCACCCCTAACGCCGCCACTGGTACACACGAAAAAGGGATTGAACGCTTTGCTTGAAATTGAACTTTTCTTTTGGTCTATAAAGCTTCAGGTATTTTTGAGATATTAAGCTCTAAAAGAGAATAGATACCTACGCTCTGAGATTTAGATCATTTCAATTGCGTTCAGAATCTCCAAAGCGATTTATTTTTTAGGTCTTTTTTCTCTTTGCTTCGAACTCTTTCAGCCAAGGGCGGATCCAGGGGGGGGAGGTCGTGGGGGTCATGACCGCCCCCATTCAATTCTCTATCCAACGATGCCAAAACGAATTCTGTGGCTCGAATGGTTCTTGAGAAACTTC